AACTGAGAGCTTTTTCCATTTTAGCACAAAATGTGGAAGATGTTTCCTGGATCCCCACAACCAGAGATTTTCCAGCCTCTTCGATCACTTTTTAAAAAAGTCTATGTTAACTACTGCATTTTGATACCCTAAGAAGATGGAGTAGGATTCTTCTGGAATGAAACGACTGAAGCAAAAGCTTTTCAATGAATACTTAAATCTCTAGGTAGAGGACACATTACAGCCAGGAGGAGCTTCCGTCCTGATTTCACGTATTCCAGGCAGCACTGCAGGGAGGCCTAGCTAAACACCATCGCTAGCTCTGCATCCTCTGGGAAAAGCTGCAGAGCCAGTTACTTAGAGTGTTGAGTGGGCACAAATATAACAAGAGTCCAGGTGACATAGGTAATTCCAAGTTGGCAAGAAAAGTTGAATTCTATTTTCACTTCTAGGCAAGTCAAAGTATTAATTTTAATACTGAACAGACTGAATGAAAACTGAGCCCTAATCCAATTTTTAAGTGTTCCCTTCCAAATGAAGTGCAATCAATATGGGGAAAGCGCCTTTCCACCAGCGAGTGGAGTGAGCTTGCCTCTGATACAAGGGCTCCTTGGCTAACAGAAACTCCCCTCAGCTGAGATTAATAAAGGCTTCGGTGACTACCGTGATTAGAACTTCTGCGCTCAGAACTAAGGCTGATGAACAGCTACCAAATACAGGGGTCAGACGGAAACCGGGTTAAAAGAGTAAACGTTCACCATCTCTTTAGTAACTGCTGGATGATTCTAATTCCTTCCCGTACTGCACTTAACAAATACCCTTAGATGTTCAGATGAAAAAGACAAGTGTGAATTCATGGAGAACATCAATAATATGTGAGAAGTCAAAGAAATTTTCAGAAACGCTTCTGAATACAAAAATAGATGATGGAAACATAAAACCCAATGAATTCAACTGCTCTCCCTTTTTTAATCAATTTTACACAATGATATCATACATGAGTAATCACATTAGGAGACATGATGGGTTTCCTGTACGTATACAAGATGGTGCAAGCTCATTAACCGAGGCTTATATAAGGTTTTATCAGTTTCAAGAGGAGAGGCAGTACAAAGCTATTTAATACAGGTGAAGCACAAGAATACAGTAGACAAGACAGAATATCAACTCAGCAGAGGTGAATTCTTAAGGCGTGTGACCCCTGCCCACACTGTCTGCCATTAACCAAGGGTAGAGGACTTCCTCTCTCGTGAAGTTAACCTGCGCTGAGCACAGGCCTGTAGGACACGCGGCTCCGTGGTGACCCCACAGCTCAACCGCACCTACCTTGATGCTGAAGCAAACTGCATCTTCCTTTCTCCAAGTATTCTCAAGAGTAATAAAGCTATTCCCGGTCACCCTACTCCTTGGGTAACCTACACTCTAAAATATATTAAATGACTATTAATCTGGCAACTTTCTCAAGCATTTTGGCATTCAAAGTATTTCAAATATTTCATCACTATTCATCTACTCACAGAAAATTCTTTGAGCTTCAAGACTGTTTCTGATTCCCACCCTCCCGCCCCCCCAAAGTATGGCCATTACACATAGGATAAACTTACTAGAGTTAAAAGAACTAAAAAGAGGGCAGACTTTTCCTTAAGAAATAAAGCAGGAAT